GAGAAGTTATATGCTCAAAGACAAAGCGTGCAAGAGACTCTAGAAGAGAAACTCGGTGCAATTGAAGGTGAAAGCGGAAATGCTGAAGCGCAGTGGAACGATATAAAAGAATGCATGTTAGATACTATCAGTGATTTGGTAGGTAAAGTTGAGAAGATAGCAAGAAAACCATGGGTTACACAGGAGATGATGAGTAAAATGGAGGAGCGAAGGAAATGGAAGAATGTCAACAATGAAGAAGGCAGGAGGAAATACAGGAGACTGAGGAATGAATTGAAAAGAGCCACGGACAGGGCCAAAAAGGAATATCTTGAGAAGATATGTAATGAGATTATGGAATTTCAAAGAACAGGCCGTTATGATTTGATGTACATGAAGACAAAAGAACTAGGATGGAAAGAGAATCATGGGATTCAAAATGTTGGCATCGAAGACTCCCAGGGGAATAGAATAGTAGATCAGAGGCAAGTGCTGAAAATTTGGGAAAATTATATTTCAGAACTATATGATCGACCTAATCGGCCAGAAACCTTAGAAGTTGAACCGGAAGAAGAAGTAGATACAGACGAGAAAGGACCATATATTTTACAAAGTGAGGTGGAAAAAGCTATCAAGGAAATGAGGAAGGGAAAGGCTACAGGAGATGATGATGTACCTGGAGATGTGCTCAAGTTACTGGGAGAAGGTGGTTTGAAAACACTGACAAAACTAATGAACACCATATATGAAAGTGGAGAGTGGCCCAAGGACTTTACAGAAGTTACAATGATTGCCTTAAAGAAAAAGACAAAAGCTACAAAATGCAGCGACCATCGCACAATAAGTCTTATTGCACATACAGCAAAGATAATAGCAAAGATACTTAAAAGAAGAATTGAAAGGAAAATAGAGGATGTACTTGGAGAAGATCAGTTTGGATTTAGAAGAGGAAAAGGAACCAGGGATGCAATTGGGATGATGAGAATTATAGCGGAACGAACTTTGGAGATAGATGAAGAACTGTGTGTTTGCTTCATAGACTGGCAGAAGGCATTTGACCGGGTAAACTGGACCAAATTAATGCAGATCCTGAAAGAAACAGGTATCGATTGGCATGAAAGAAGATTGATTAGCAAATTGTACATGGATCAGAAAGTTAGAGTACGACTGGACAGGGGGGAGACAGGAAGTGTGCAGATTGGAAGAGGAGTTCGACAAGGATGCTGTTTATCACCAATTCTGTTCAACTTGTACAGCGAATGCCTTACCAAGGAAGCTCTGGATGGGCTCGGTGACTTCAAAGTAGGAGGGCAAATTATTCAAACTGTGAAATATGCAGATGACCTTGTGTTAATGGCTAAGGAAGAAACTGTGCTACAGGGCATGATTGATAGACTAATTGAAATTGGAAGGTGCTATGGCATGGAAATGAATGTGGAGAAAACAAAAGTAATGAAAATTTCGAGACAACCAACCCCAGTCACAATAAAGATAGACCAAAAACAAGTGGAGAATGTGAAATGTTTTAAATATTTGGGTAGCTTGTTAACAGATGATGGAAGGTGTACTTGTGAAATTAAATCCAGGATTGCCATGGCAAAAGCTGCATTTAGCAAGAAGAAGAATCTTTTTACCAGCAAATTGGACTTAAATTTGAGGAAGAAACTAGTGAAATGCTACATTTGGAGCATAGCTCTGTATGGGGCTGAAACATGGACACTTAGGGCAGTAGATCAGAAACATCTGGAAAGTTTCGAAATGTGGTGTTGGAGAAGAATGGAGAAGATCAGTTGGACCGATTATGTGAGAAATGAAGAAGTGTTAATTAGAGTCAGTGAGCAGAGGAATATCCTACACGAAATAAGAAAACGGAAGGCTAATTGGATTGGTCATGTTTTACGCAGAAACTGCCTTCTAAAAGAAGTTATCGAAGGAAAGATAGAGGGGCGGATAGAAGTGACAAGAAGACAAGGAAGAAGACGTAAGAAGATGCTGGATGACCTTGGGGACAGAAGAGGATACTGTCATTTGAAGGAGAAAGCTCTAGATCGCATTAAATGGAGGAATTGTTTTGGAAGAGACTGTGGACCTGTCGTCTTGACAGATTACTGATGATGATGATGATGATCAATAAAAAGAAGCATACATAAAAGGTAAAGGTGTCCCTGAGCTTTATTAATTTAGCCAGTACGGCATGAAGATACATATGGAGTGGATGTACAGAGCCACATTTTCTTGACCTTGACACTAGTTGGAGGTGAGTGGAAAGCTTCATGCCCTAGCCACTTTACCTCCATGGATAAAACATTTGGCACCCATCGAATAGGATGCTCAGTAGACCCCAGAGTCAGCCTGGGCGATGTGGAGAAGAAAAAATTCTTTACCCAATTGGGACTCAAACTCCAACCCCTCATTTGTCCAGTCAGTAGCCAGTGTCTATACTGACTGCATTATCCCGGCTCCCCAAAGAAGCATGTATCATCATCAGTAAAAAAAAAAAAAAAAAAAAAAAAAAAAAAAAAAAAAAAAAAAAAAAAAAAAAAAAAAAAAAAAAAAAAAAAAAAAAAAAAAAAAAAAAAAAAAAAAAAAAAAAAAAAAAAAAAAAAAAAAAAAAAAAAAAAAAAAAAAAAAAAAAAAAAAAAAAAAAAAAAAAAAAAAAAAAAAAAAAAAAAAAAAAAAAAAAAAAAAAAAAAAAAAAAAAAAAAAAAAAAAAAAAAAAAAAAAAAAAAAAAAAAAAAAAAAAAAAAAAAAAAAAAAAAAAAAAAAAAAAAAAAAAAAAAAAAAAAAAAAAAAAAAAAAAAAAAAAAAAAAAAAAAAAAAAAAAAAAAAAAAAAAAAAAAAAAAAAAAAAAAAAAAAAAAAAAAAAAAAAAAAAAAAAAAAAAAAAAAAAAAAAAAAAAAAAAAAAAAAAAAAAAAAAAAAAAAAAAAAAAAAAAAAAAAAAAAAAAAAAAAAAAAAAAAAAAAAAAAAAAAAAAAAAAAAAAAAAAAAAAAAAAAAAAAAAAAAAAAAAAAAAAAAAAAAAAAAAAAAAAAAAAAAAAAAAAAAAAAAAAAAAAAAAAAAAAAAAAAAAAAAAAAAAAAAAAAAAAAAAAAAAAAAAAAAAAAAAAAAAAAAAAAAAAAAAAAAAAAAAAAAAAAAAAAAAAAAAAAAAAAAAAAAAAAAAAAAAAAAAAAAAAAAAAAAAAAAAAAAAAAAAAAAAAAAAAAAAAAAAAAAAAAAAAAAAAAAAAAAAAAAAAAAAAAAAAAAAAAAAAAAAAAAAAAAAAAAAAAAAAAAAAAAAAAAAAAAAAAAAAAAAAAAAAAAAAAAAAAAAAAAAAAAAAAAAAAAAAAAAAAAAAAAAAAAAAAAAAAAAAAAAAAAAAAAAAAAAAAGGAGCAACATCATCAGCCTTACATCCAACCCCAACATAGAGGATCAGGTCCCTGCATTTATGCATTCCCAATGACAGGGTGGCCCACTTACACCCTCAGGCATGAGGTTCCCTTTTTCTTGTCTTCTTTGACTCACAGGGCTACAGTGGAGGTATTCTAACCCACCTTCACATGCAGAAAGGATATATCACTCATGGAGCTGAGCCCTTCTTGAGAAGTTGCCAATTGTGCAGC